CACAAAAGCTACTACTTGGAAAAGTCAAGGACTTAGAAGTCTTGGTGATATTTTAGCTTTTACACACACACACACACACACACACACACACACACACACACACACACACACATATATATATATTAGCTAGTTCCTAAAATGATTTTCTTGTGTGCTTCCAAGAACTCCTAACAGTGTATTTATCTAAAATACCTATCAAGCATCCAAGGCCAAAGAAACAACACCTGTCTCCCAGGTCAAGTGGATAGTTTTATTTCTTGTGCAATTTAGGGTGAGACCCTCCTTTCTTACACAACCTTACTAATAGACCCCCTAACTTCTTTCCCAACCACTTCTAGGAATGTAGACTGAGCACACAGATCCCCTTTTTGATATACTGACCAGTCATTAGCACTCAGCTGACCTCCTCTTTTACCACTCCCATTTTGGGTTGTAAAAGAAAGCCTGGTGGTCACTGCCTGAGGAAAATTCTTACCTACCTTTATGACCCGCGTAAGAATTCAAGCTTGGTGACCTTGCTCTGCGAGAGGATTGCTATTGCTTGGGTTTATAACTGGATTCCTGGGAGACTAGGAGGGAACAAAGACATTAAGGAGCTGGAGAGGAGGAGAGAGAGGAAAAAGAACAGAAGAACTAGATGGGTAAGAACTGGAGAGGAACGGACTAGATGGGAAGAACTAGATTGGAGGTCAAAAGAGAATACTAGAGGAACAAGATGGATGACGAGGAAGAGCCAGATGGGGAAGAACAAGATGAGAAAGAAGGAGATGGGAGAGGAGCTAGATGGGAAGGAACTAGATGGATGAGAACCTAGATGGGGCAGAACTAAGTTGAGAGAATTAAGACAGAACTTAGAGGAGACAGCAGATAAATATAGAGAGAATTAAATGGAAAGGAACTAGACTTGAGTACAGAACTGAAGCTGTGTAGATAGGATTTTATCCCAGAGGAATAAAGTAGACAGAGAAAGAGCTTGGTGTATCTACATTTATTCCTGCCCTGAATGCCTGATGGAGCTGCAGCTGTAATAGATTTTTGTCTTAGAGGAATAAAGTTAACAGACATAAGAGCATAGTGTACGTAGAATTTTTCCCTCAGATATCCCACACCAGACGTAGCGAAATCCCCGGACCCTGGGTATCTCATAATCCAGGCTCCAAAATCACCCCTCCCCTGTAGTTCTGCCACTGCGGCACATGCAGTCTCTCCACTTGCTTCAGCTGGAGTCCTCCAATCCTGTCATCTCCAATATCCTGATCTTCACTGCACCTCAGCCTTCACCTGTGTGTTCGAGGAGATGCAGTAAAGAACTGCTGACATACTACTCCATTGTTAGGGGAAAGGTTTCATTGTGCCTGAGAGAGAGAGAATACCCAGAGGTATCTGGAGGAGTCCAGAGCAGAGAGAAAGAGAAAGAGACTGGATATGACCAGGGCTGTCTGTGGGAGAAGAAAGAATAGCAAGGGACAGAGAATAGAGAATGCATGATGAGAAGAGCAGGGGCAGGGGAAATCTTTGCCATTATAAAGAGAACAAAAGATCTGAGGTCACGGATATAGAACCAACAAATATGGAGGGCTCCATTCACAAAAAAAACTCAGCCTGGGTATCTGGAAAAGCCCAAATGGCCTATCCGAGCATTAAACATTCCCAACACTGTCTATGAGAGGAGGGAAGCCTGGAAAGGTGAGAAAGGCTAGGATGCTAGAACGGGCTTTGCAACACGTAACAGGTACCTGTGATACTGAGGGAGCCTGGTCGGCACCACGGGCTCTGATATGCTGATAGGTGCCACAGGTAGCCATATGCTCCCTCCGCCAGAGGTCAGGGAAATGACTCATTTTAGCAGATGGGAATCACTTTCACAAGTTCCTGAGGAATGCTGGCTTTTATCCGACCATTAGAAATCCTCCTATACTTCAGGTTGAGCTCATTTTTGGCTATTTGGACAACCTTTTGGAGTTTGGGGAGCTGGGCGTTTCCTTGTGGACCTGACAACCTTCATAACTTCCCACAATGGTCACACTGCTTGGCCTCAGAAGCCTTCCAGAAACTTGGCACAAGCCTCCATGAACCCCTTACTCTTGCATCTAGTATACCTATACCATGATGCCAAAACTTGCTTCTAGCTGGAGATATAGCTTGGTTCCCGTTAGGCATACTCGGTCTGCCTTCCAAGCTTACCCAGAGGAAACAACTCCCCAGGTGGTGGTTTTCAAACAGAGGACTCCTGCAGTGGCATCCTCAGTTTAGGCTCCTCCTTTGTTACAAGCTGCAACCTTCACCGAGGGACTTTGCCCTGGAGCGTTTTCCTATTATCTCAGTGCATAAGGGCTCCCTTTAACAATCTCTTTAACAATTGCATCTGCTTTGTAGCCTACAACTCCCTCCTTCCCCAGCAAACCAGCTTCCGATCTCTCTGCTGTCTCTCACAGTACACTGAGATAAGCACAGTGAACAGTAACCTTGATACAGTCTGAATGTCATCCAGAAAACGGCATTGGGAATTGAACCCAGGTCCTCTGGAAGAGGAGCCAGTGTCTTTTTTTTTTTTTTTGGTTTTTCGAGACAGGGTTTCTCTGTGTAGCTTTGTGCCTTTCCTGGAACTCACTCTGTAGCCCAGGTGGGCCTTGGTCTCGAACTCACAGAGATCTGCTTGCCTCTGCCTCCCAAGTGCTAGGATTAAAGGCGTGTGCCACCACCGCCCGGCTAGCAGCCAGTGTCTTAATCACTAAGCCACCTCTTCGGCCTCCATCTTGTCTTCAGACATCCTCCACCAAACAAATTAATCCATTTCTGTTGAATTCAGCCTCATCAAATTCTCATCAAATAGAGACAGAAGGCAGCCCAGCTTTTGACCAGAATATGACACCAATGGCCTCCAGCATCATCTTAGAAAAGTCCTTGCCTCCCTCTGAAACCTCATTAGCCGGAGGCCTTCACTATCTGTGTTTCTCTGCCATTCTTTCTCTTACAGATTTATTTTTATTCTTGCATATGTGTGTATGTCTGAGTGTATGTCCTGTGTGTGGGTGCCAGAAGAGGCCAGAAGAAGGCGTTGGAATTCCTGGAGCTGGAACTATAGGTGGTTGTGAGCCACCCAACATGGTTGCTAGAAGTTGAACCTGTGTCCTCAGCAAAAGCAGGAACTCAGCATTCTGAACTGCTGAGCCATCTCTCCAACCCCTTAAGTTTCTCTTGATATTCTGGTCCTCTGAACGCCCACCAGAATGGCCCGCTTCGTTCTGCTCACACCATTTTAGGGCTTTTCTAACCCAAAGTTCCAAACTCTTCCACACTACTTCCACAAACCAATTCCAAAAGTCTAAGAAGCACCTGGTCCAGTTTTTTTGGCTTAAGGGTGAAGCATCAAAATTTACGGGAGGACAGCCCCAAAGATGAAGGTCCTGGGCTACAGAGTTCGGTCCAGGACAGTGGGGACTACACAGAAACCCTGGCTTAAAGAAAACAACCCAAAACCAAACCCAGCAAACAAAAACAAAAAACCAAAGGTACACTTCTGGTTAAACACTAACACTGCATCACACCCAGCTACGACACTCCTGACCTTACCATAAAAACTGCCAAACTGCCGGGCGGTGGTGGCATACACCTTTGATCCTACCACTCAGAGGCAGAGGCGGGCAGATCTCTGTGAGTTTGAGGCTAGCCTGGTCTACAGAGTGAGTTCCAGGACAGGCACAAAAAAAGAGAAACCCTGTCTGGAAAACAAACAAACAAACAAACAAACAAAAAAGCAGTTTCTCCAGAAACTAATGATAGATCTTCCATATGACTCAGCTATACCACTTCTAGGTTTTTACCTAAAAAATTCCCATATCACAGAGACAGACTCTTGCACATTATTGTTTTTTTTTGCAGCATTATTCACAAATGGCTGTTATGAACCAACGAAGGTGTCCAACAACAGAGTAACGGATAAAGAAAACATGACATACATACATAATGGAACTCTTACACGTTTTCATGTGAGTGTGTGTGTATGTTCGTGCACATACGTGCATGTGGAGGTCAGAGAACAGCTCTCAGTTCTCTCCTACTAATGGGTTCCTGGGCTCAAACGCAGATTTCCAGCACTGGCGGGAGGTGCGCCTCTCACTAACCCCACAATGGAATTTTTTTCAACCATAAAAAAGAACGAAGTTACGTCATTTGCACGGAAATGGATGCAACTGGATATAATCATATTAAACAAATTATTCTCAGACAAATATGTTTTTTTCTGACTAGTGGTTCCTAGATTTTTATAGAGATGCATAAAATCGTGTAGAGAAATGAAACTAGGGAGAAAAGAACAGGAGGGAGGGTTAAACAAATGCAACTGGGAGATCTGGGGGAGTATGGTTGATACATCGCCGATACCTGTGTGAAAACTTTAATAAGTCAAAAGCATAACTCTAATCAAGAAAATACAGGTGAAGCTGGACTTGTACAGATCTCGAGTTTGAGGCCAGCCTGGGCTACATGGCCAGCTCCAGGTTAACCTGAGCTACCCAGAAAAGCCAATCTTAGAAGAAAAAAAAAAAAAAATTCTGTTCACACTGAGGCGCAAGCCGGAAATAAGGGGTAAACGCGATTATTCCGTGACGATACAACTGGAAACACCAGGCATCCGGGGGAAAGCAAGGAGGCGGCTGGAGCCCGCTAAGGTGGCAGCGGGGGCGTGGCCAGCTGAGTGGGGCCCGCCCCCACACCCTCGTGGAGGGTCACGAGTGCGCCCGCCGGGCTTCCGGACTCGTTCCCGCGCGGGGGAGGCCGCCCCGCGATGCCCGGCAGAGGCGCGTCTCCTGACAAAGGCAGGCTGGAGTTCGGAGCCGCCCGTCCTCCTGCGACCCCGCACGCGTTCCTCAGGAGCAGCCCACCGGGACCAACTCTCAGGAGGGCTGGAGGCCCGAACCTACGCCCCGGGGGGCGTCACGGCCCGCGAGGCGCCCACCCTGGCGCGGACACGACCCTTCTCTCGGGCCTTGCAGACATACCTGGAGAGGTTTAGCCTCCACTCAGGGTTCCGGGTCACGAAGCGCGTGGAGAAGGGGGCCCTGTCACCCACTCGCGACTGCAGGTGGGGGAAGGGCGACCGCCGGTGCGTTCGCGCAAGCGCGCAGACTGTAGAGCGGGCGGCCGTACCCAGAGTCCTCGGAGCAGTGACGCGGGTCTCAGGACTACAATTCCCATGCGCCTCCGAGCCACGGTGCTAGGGACTCTGGGAAGTTTGTAGGGTGGGAAACGCTTTCCAAATTAACCGAGGTGTGGACTGCGTTCTGCTCTCTGAGGACAGCCTCTTTCCTCCTTGTACGCTATTAAAAAACCTGGGTTTTAGACATTTCACGAGTAATCCATGAACTCTTTTTCAGCTACAAAACACGAACATTAAAGCAAATATCAACCTGAATCTCAACCATGTAAGGAGCACACATCTTTCTGGGCATGGTAGTGCAGCCTTTAATCCCAGCAAGTCGGGAGGTAGAAGCAGGCAGATCCTTGGGACAGAGAGTTTCAGGCCAGCTAGGGCTACATAGTGAGACCCAATTTTAGAACAACCAACTCCCCACCACTACCACACACACACACACACACACACACACACACACACACACACACACACACAAAAAACCCACAAAATAAAACCACCGTTTTCCTCAACCTCTCGCCCTTAAAGTTATTTTTGGAAGGCCTGACACAACCCCATGTTGATTTGAGATGGTCTTGTCACCAACTCTAGGCTGGCTTCAATCTTCCTGTTTCAGCTTCCTACTTAATGGGATTACAGGTGAACTGTACCATGCCTAATGACTTTATTTCAGTACTGACCACCTCTATGAACACTGCATGTATATGGTGCACATACATACACATAGGCAAAGCATTCATACACATAAAATCTTAAAAACTTCAGGGCAGTAGTGGCACATGCTTTAATCCCAGTACTCAGTCAGGAGGCAGCGGCTAGTCTACAGAGAGTTCCACAACAGAAAAACCCTGTTTCAAGAAACAAAAACAACCCTTAAAGTTTGTAAATGACGATATAATTTTAACTCTGTGTAAAGTATACACAAAACTGTTTCTGAAGCGTGGAGTTGGGGAGGAGAGGGACAGAGGTAGTCCCAGTGCTCAGAAGTAGAAGTCAAGGCCAATCTGGACAATGATCCCCCACAAGGTGGAAGAAGAGAACCATCTCCCACAAGTTGTCCTCTGACCTCCACATGCCCACTGGGGCACATTTGTGAATGCACACACACACACACACATATAAAATTGTCTAAAAAAGAATATGCATCATATTTTCAAAACATTGGAAATAATCCAGATCTTTGACTATGTGAATCAAATAAATTGTAGTTACACACAAATAGAACTGGAAGAGACACTGAAAATGATGTGTATTGATCACATGGTGAAGGTGTCTAATTCATGAGAAATGAAAGGGAAAAAAGGCAGGAATTATATGACAGTCTGTCAGGTGTGGTCCTGTTTAGGCTGGAGATGTAGTTCAGTAGTAGAACATTTGGTAGCTTGTAAAGACATTTGGTAGCTTGATTCCCAGCACCACACACATACATCTACACAAAAATAGAATGTGTCCCTATTCTTGTAAAAACTGTGCATAATTTGAGACCAAGCTAGAAGATACAAAAAGAAGATTGGAACACACTCTCTCTCTTAATTTATGGTAACACCACTCTGTGTACGAGCTGTTTCTGAAGAACTTGCAAAATTCAAAGCACTGTTTTCTATTACTTTCTCCCTTAGGAATAAGGGAATACAGAGGAAGGTTTCGAAAACACAGTACATATTTTTGCTGAAATACAATTCTTTCCTTTTTTCTTTTGTTATACCTAGTCCGTTGTGAGCCACGAGGAAGGAGAGAGACAACACTTATGGGTTCCAAAAACTTCAATAAATCACCACATGAACAAAGTCTCTGACTGACCAGGGCTGAAGGACAAGGACTCAGGAGCCTTGCTTTTCCTGACAGCCCCGAGCTGGGGCAGAAGTGGGTTTATAAGCCCCAAAACCATAAACACACCTGTACCAAGTTACAGTTATATTTTTCACCCATAAGAGTCAAAGATGAAGGTTTTTCCTTGTGTGTTCCTGTAAACTTCTCAGTCCAGTACATCGGAGTCATTTGTTCTGTTGTTAGGGACAACCATAATGTCTTAGAGAACTAAGGGGCATAACAGACCATTTCCATTGTTTAAGGTTAGGGGCTGGAGAGAAGGCTCAGAGGTTAAGAGTACTGGCTGCTCGTCCAGAGGTCCTGAGTTCAATTCCCAGCAACCACATGGTGGCTCACAACCATCTGTAATGAGATCTGGTGCCCTCTTCTGGCCTGCAGGGATACGTGTGGGCAGAATACTATATGTATAATAAATAAATAAATCTAAAAAAAAAAAAAAAAGGAGGTTGGTCAGCCGCTGGAAAGTTCCCCTAGGGTTTAGGAACCTGAACTTTGTTTCATCCTATAGGTAAAATGGAGTTTGAAGTCCAAATGGCAGTCCTTAGGACAAGGAGCTTTTGCCTATTCCTGTCATTTTCTTTTCTTTTCCTTTCTTTCTCTCCCCTCCCTTTCTCTCTCTCATTCTCTCTCTCTTTCTTTTGAGCCAGAGTCTCAAATATTGATGACCAGGCCTTAAACTTGGTACCCAGAGTGGGGTACTCACTATGTAGCCAAGAAAACCTACCCTTGGGCATCTGAGTCTCCTGCCTCCACCTCCTGAATGCTGGAATTAAAAACCATCATACGTGTTTCATGTGGTGCTGGGGATAGAACATAGGGCTCTGTGTGAGCATGCTACCAACTGAACTCCATCCACTGCCTGAAATATGACTTTGAATTTCATCTCCTTCCCATTAGGCTCTCAGGGCTCTCTAGTCAGTTACCTCCACTGGACACTATGGGTTGCTTGGTCTCCTCCTCAGTGTGCAGCAATATGCCACTTAAATCCAAGCATCCACTCCTCTGCTACTTTGTGATGTGCTTAGAGGTACATAGTGATAAGGGCAATGCATGCGCAGACATTTTCATTGTAAGAACAGTGACAGCTGAAAGTGGAGTAAATGTCCCAAGGTATCAACAATACTGTGGGTTGTTCACAGGATAGTGGCCAAAATTTAATTTCTATTGCTCAAGTGCCATCATCTTGTGACACAATGACCTCTCTCAACACTATCCTAGCCCCAGGTGTGGTGGGGCATACCTTTAACCCCAGTACTCAGAAGGCAGAGGTAGGCAGATCTCTGTGAGTGAGTTCCAAGCCATCCAGAGCTACATAGTGAGACCTTGCCTCAAAAACAAAAAACAACCAAACAAAAAACAGCATCACAGTAATGAACTTTTTTGCTGTATTTAAATTCCTTCGTCTTGGAATAGATAGATCGCTCATCAGTTAAGTTCATGTGCTGCTCCTACAGAGAACCTACCACTAATGTTGGATGGCTCACAACTGCCCTGTAACTCCAGCTCCAGAATATTTGATGCCCCCTTCTGACATCCATGGGTATCTGCATTCGTGTGCACATACATACAGACACACAGATATAGAAATGATTAAAATTAAATCTTTTGGGGCTGGAGAGATGGCTTAACAGTTAAGAGCACTTGCTGATTTTGCAGAGGATCCAGAGGACTTGAGTTCAGGTCCCAGCTTCTACATGGTGGCTAACAATTTTCTGTAACTCTCATTCCAGAGAATTGACACCCTCTCCTGATATATTTGGACATTGCATGCACATGGTGCCCAGACATACATGAAGACAAAGCACTCATACATGACAAATAAAAAAAATTCTAAATATTCACTAATAAAATGTTTTAAAAATTAAATATCTATTTAAAGTCTTTGGTCTTGCATTTTGTTTTTTGTTTTTTGTTTTTTGAGACAGGGTTTCTCTGTGTAGCTTTGCGCCTTTCCTGGGACTCACTTGGTAGTCCAGGCTGGCCTGGAACTCACAGAGATCCGCCTGGCTCTGCCTCCCGAGTGCTGGGATTAAAGGCGTGCACCACCACCGCCCAGCTTGGTCTTGCATTTTTTTTTTTTTTAAATTTATGTATGTTTTCTAGCTAATTTTTTTTTTTTTAAGATTTATTTATTTATTATGTATACAGCATGTATGACTGCAGGCCAGAAGAGGGCACCAGACCTCAGTACAACAGATGGTTGTGAGCCACCATGTGGTTGCTGGGAATTGAACTCAGGACCTCTGGAAGAGCCGTCAGTGCTCTTAACCTCTGAGCCATCTCTCCAGCCCCTGGTCTTGCATTTTAACTGAGTCTTTTATCCAGTTGTGAATTTGTACCATCATAGCTTGATCGTTTGAAAAATGATCATCAGCTAGGCGGTGGTGGCACACGCCTTTATTCCCAGCACTTGGGAGGCAGAGGCAGGCGGATCTTCGTGAGTTTGAGGCCAGCGTGGTCTACAGAGCGAGATCCAGGAAAGGCACAAAGCTACACAGAGAAACCCTGTCTCAAAAAAAAAAAAAAAAAACAAAAAAAAAAAAAAAAAGAAAAATGGCTCATCAAATCACATACTTCTATACGTTGGCTTTTTTTTTTTTTTTTTTTTTTTTTTTTGGTTTTTTCAAGACAGGGTTTCTCGGGTTTGGGGATTTAGCTCAGTGGTAGAGCGCCTGCCTAGCAAGCACAAGGCCCTGGGTTCGGTCTTCAGCTCCGGGGGGGAAAAAAACAAAACAAACAAACAAAAAAAGATAGGGTTTCTCTGTGTAGTCCCAGCTGTCCTGGAACTCCCTCTGTAGACCAGGCTAGTCTCAAATTCACAGAGATCCGCCTGCCTCTGCCTCCCAAGTGCTGTGATTAAAGGCGTGGGCCACCACCACCCAGCTATGCTGATACATTTTATCCCACAGTACCAAATACCATATTAATTCCACCAGTTTTCTCAGTCAACACTGGTTAAGCATGGAGAGACAGGATAGGGTTTTTCCCAAATTCTGCTTAACATGAAAGCTCATGTTATCATTGAGCAACAAATATCATGGGCTGTTTTCCTGGAAGTAACAGTTCCCTTCATTGAGTTTTTAAAAACAAACCACCCAAACCCAGACTAGCCATTGTTTCCTCACCAGTCATTCTTAAGTCAGAACGGTGTCCCCAGTTAGGGAGAGGGCTCAATGGGTCAAAAGTTCTTA